CACACACACACACACACACACACACACACACACACACACACACACACATTAAACCTCTCATTTATGGTTTCCACAAATCTTCTCTCCCATTTCAGTTCTTGATCAATAACAACCAAGCAGTTCCTTCTAAACGGCACATTTACTCCCTCGGCTCCAGCACCAAACGCTTTTGCCGAAACACGAATTACCAAAGCTGTGTGAGCCTATACAACACGGTAAATTGATTATGTGGCTGAGAAGAACATTAAATTTATTTTTACTTCATTGTCTCCTTACATGTCTGACACATCCTCCCTGCTGATAATGGATTCTAGCTGTGCAACAGATGGGTACAATTTCAGCAATCCTGCTATATTAACATGAAAACATTTGAGCAGGAAGGCACTCAGGCCAATGCTAAATATTTGTTAGCCATGAACTTTATGAAATACTATAAATATGTAACAACCTCTGACCTATTTAAATATTATCACTGCCATATAAAGTGATGAACCCAATATGTTAACATTTATTATGTTTTACAGTATGAAACTGAACTGACCACACCCCTGTGCTATAAATGCTCAAACATTTATCACCTGTAATGCATCCGTTGTTTACTGGTGAAAACTAACCAGAATATATATTTTAAATGGCTATAATAGAATTATAGGCCCTTCAATAGAAAATCAATGCAGTTGATGTCAGGACATTTTATGACTGATATTCATGTTTTAGTCATTTTTCCTGATGATAAACTCTGAGCTCCTCAGGATGATGGGTATTGATATTACAGGCATTTCTAATGACTGGTTTAAGCTACACTTTTATTTTTTCACCCACTGAAGGCGAAGGCATACACTACTGTTTTTGCCTGTTTGTCTATGCATGTGTGTTTCTGTGCGACAGCTACTAACAACACTGAATGAAACTTGCAAAAAAATATATTTGAGTGAACAACTAATTAACTTTTGGAATCAAATTGATACAAGCAGACTGCTGCAGCCAACTGATTTTAAACAGYATCATTTATACAGATATGCTATGTTTGTTGTGGTAGTACCTAAGACTGATTGTGAGTGCTAGCAGACTGAGCAAGTCTTTCTATTTGAAGACAACTCTCACATTAAAGCACTGAAAAGGTGTTGGATTCAAGTCACATAAAAAGCCAGATTGCAATTTATTTTAGAGACGCGATTTAGCAGATGCTTCCTTTTGCTCATGCAGGACATCTTTTCTCACAAACTCGACAAACAAGACTTTGGTATATTGACAGGTTTCCACTGTAGCTTCTCTAAATGTCACATTTTGGGCTCATGCAGCCTCCACCTCCCAGTGGACAATGTGCCACTGTGGCAGCCAGGTTCACACTAAATGTGTTGAACCCATTTGAGCTGAACAAATGTATCTCTGTCTCGTCTGACTGAAGAATGTGCAGTGACATTATGCAATGACTTTTACATTGTCTGAGCTGTCACAGGAACTAACTCTCCATCTCTAACATCTGTGCAGACTCTGACCAACGTCTCCTTCAACTTTTCAGGTTGTGCAACTTGAACTCACCGCGACGTTGTTTTAGAAGTGGGGTCTCTACTGCTGGAATTAAAAATAAAACCTTTAAAATAATGTTTTACATACTAAGAGGTCACACACTCACTGTATATGTGGTCAATGACTCTTATACTACCACAATAAATTGTAGCTTAATATAGAGTATGTGAAACTGACTGAGCTGTAGACATTATAATCATGTTATAAATGTATTTAAAATTATTACATTCTGCAAGTTTTAATAAAATTCATTGAATGTTATATATATATA